TTAGAGGATGCTTGGATATAAAAATTTTTGGATTTATTTGGATTTTATTGGTTTGGTTTGGTTAATTTTGAAAAAGGTGGTATGGTTAGTTGTTAGTGGTATATTAAAATAATATTAAAAATAAAATAATTAAAATTGATTTAATGTAAAAGTATGAGAGAAATGATTTGAAGTGATGGTTAGTTAAAATTATGTGAGAGGATGAATAGTGAATTAAGGTTGATGTGATGTGTAAGAATGATTGGTTTATATTATTTAATTATATTAATAATATTAATATTGGTTGGGTTGAGTTAAAGTTGAGTTAAAAAAAGTGGTTGAGTTAAAAGTGGTTGGATATTTTGGATAAATTTTGTATCCAAGCATCCTCTTAGAGATTTATCAAAAAAAATTTAAAAGTCTTAATTGAATATAGGTAGACTTTTTAGAAGCCTCAGAAAGTTCTAACTGAATACATCATAACTTTAAAAGTATTTTAAAAAATCTTTAAAAATTTAAATTGAATACACCGCCCCTAAAGAACTGTTTGACATTAGCTGACATGACATGGATATAAAAATGAATTACAAAAAAAAAATAACACAATAAGATATGGCATGCTACTTGACACAAAACACGACATGAAAACTTATAATTTAGTTAAAAACTTCTGCAGGTTTATTATCGAGTCGAAGAAGAACAGAGAGAAAATGACTTGGCTAGCTCTAATGAAGCAGTTACAGCAACTAGTTCTGGTGAAGAATCCTTTTCTAGCGTAGTAAATAATGATGGCCCGATCCCAAGGTTGGTACCCAAAATGGATGTTTTGGAAGAGAGCAAACCAGATGAATGACCACATCCTGCATTAATAGCCTTAGCCTGCATTATATCTATATTTTTTTTTTTTTTTTTTTTTTANNTTGTTTTCTCAAGATTACAACCTAAAATGTGGATTTTCTCTAGTAACTGACTCGGTTGAGTTACCATCCACTGTCTTACTAAGAGTTTTACTTAAACCAAACATACAGGGGTGGAAAAAACATTTCTTTCATTTAAGAAGCCAGACGAAGAACCTATGCATCATTTTGTTGGTAAGAAAATAAAAAAGAAGCTGAAACTTCCATACATCCATCACCAAATCGTAGGAGTGAACAAAAACTGATCGCAGGACATGTTTAAGAGACCATGAAATTTGTCCTTTTTCTACAAAATTGGGGTCTACATCTAATTATAAAAAGTTATATCCATATTTTGATATTTTAATTTTGCACTGGATATTTTATTTCTCTATCTTTAGATCGGATCTCCAAAAGTTCTATGTAGCCAGCATATGAAATTGCAGATATAGTTTCATAGGATTGATCATGCAGCATTAACGGTCCCAAAGGTTTTTTTATTGCAACTTTAGTCTTATAGTTAGTCAACTCATTAGGCAAATTGAAACTTAATTTTCAACTTGTGGACCAATTTTGTAATTTTACCAGACCAATTTTGCAATTGATGACCAATCATGTGGTGCCATTTTTGCAACTTTCTTCAAAACATTTTTATTAGTTTTAATAATCATTACCTAGTTCTGTTTGTTTGAGTTCTATGTATTCTATGGGTGAGTTTGGTAGAAATAATGGATTGGGCTTGATATAATATTTTGAATGTTTCAAAGGCTATCCATCTATTTAATGAGTCCATTAATTTGTTTGGTTTAAACTTGAAAATTATATCATTTAAGATGCAATTACTTTTATACCCTTCACTTTATATTAAATTTTTTATAATGAGTCCAACATATTAAGAAAATCGGAGCTCCAAAAATTGAAAATGGCGGACCCTGCACATACAATTTCTTCAAGCTGAAGCAGGATCCCAGAAACTTGCAGGCCACTAGGAGATCGCTCACCAGGGGCGTAGCTACATTCTAGCTTGGGTGGGCTATAGCCTAGGCTAAAAAAATTAAAACAATGTAGTAGTATATTAATATTTTTTTTTTTTTTTGTTTTGATTTAGTATAATTAAAATTGAATATATCTCTTAACCATTAGCCCATCTTTTTAATATCAATTAAAATATTTTACTTTATTAACAAATTTTTAATGTTATTTTCATTGACGACAATAAGAAAATAAAATCTAATCAGGTAATATGAATATTTAGGAGCTTCAAATCAAACATTTATTTACAACTTCTTTTTTGGAGAAATAACAACTATGGTGCTTTTATTTATTTATTAATTAATAATAATAATAATAATAATAATAAATGTTACGAATATATTTGATATGAAAATATAATCTTCAAATTTATTTGTCCTTTTGAAAGTTGATTTGAAATAAAATTATGTGATTCATTATAATTGGTAATTATAACTGTTGGAATAATAAAATAGTAAATATATAAATTCGTATATCCCACAAAACATTCTTAATAAAATCAATATTATCGAAGGTAAACTTTTAATGTATTCTTACTAAACTTTATTTTAATTTATTAATATTATATTTATTCTACAATTCCTTATCGAACAAGCATACATATTGAATAAGATACATAATGTAATTACCATTTATTTATTTGAGATTCTGATTGATATTTTTAGTCTTTTTTAAATTCAAAACTTTTAAAAATTTGTTAACTTAATGAAATCCTTATTATAAATCTAAAGTTTATATGTAGAAGTTGGAAGTAAGATTTGACATATATAATTTGTGTTTGAATTCTCCGCAAATCTTAAACAGTTCTAATGAATTTCAATGTTAAATAAATTAATCACGACTCTTAAGAGTTTTCAAAATATCAAGTCGATAACTAAAAATTTTAAAAATCATTAAATGTCAAAAGCTAGATACACAATTTTTTTTTAAATAATAAAAAATCTTTAAAATCCGATATACCCTTAAGCTATTCTATTTAAAAAACATGTCGATTTTGTATAGACCGAAACTTGTGTTGTCTTTATAAGATAAACTACACCAAATATATAAATTAATTAATATTTAGAGGGTCTTTTGAAAAAAAAAAATAGTTGGAATAATTATCATGAAAAACATATGATGTATTAATGCTGCAATACCAACTAAGTGTATTAGTCAGCCCCATTGTCGCTCACTGCCGCTCGGATTCCCCCACCATCCGTCCGCCTTCGCCTTCGAGATCGACGGCCAAAAAAATTTGTATATCTAAAAGTAAGAAAAAAATGTCCGATCTGAAAAGAAAGCTTAATTGGCCGATTTGTATAATTACCCCTTGGAAGAAAAGCCTAATTGAAAAGAAAGGTTTAATTTCTACCATATCAAAGGCTTGGTGCTGTACGA